ATATAAATATATACATATAGATAATCAAAAAATAAATCTATTTAATTTATGTGGAGAGAATAATATCGGTATAATCATTAGTATTAATATATTAGTTATAGGAAAATGAATGAAAAAAACTATTTTTATAATTCTAAAATGATATCTTATACATGTAATTGATTTTATCATTAGCACTATTTTGCTTATAGAAAATTAATTTGTTGAAGGTTTAATTATTATTTAAAGAGAAATTTACTTTTTACGCCAAATAAAAATTATTCATAATATAATATATCAAATGATATAAAAATTGGTATGCAAATCTATATACATTTTTTTCAATATTTTGTTGTATAAATGGTATTATCTGATTTTGTTGATATTTTCACATTGTAAGGTTAAAATTTTGTTACAAATTTAAATATATATATATATATATATAAAAAAAAATCTATTTAATTTATGTGGAGAGAATAATATCGGTATAATCATTAGTATTAATATATTAGTTATAGGAAAATGAATGAAAAAAACTATTTTTATAATTCTAAAATGATATCTTATACATGTAATTGATTTTATCATTAGCACTATTTTGCTTATAGAAAATTAATTTGTTGAAGGTTTAATTATTATTTAAAGAGAAATTTACTTTTTACGCCAAATAAAAATTATTCATAATATAATATATCAAATGATATAAAAATTGGTATGCAAATCTATATACATTTTTTTCAATATTTTGTTGTATAAATGGTATTATCTGATTTTGTTGATATTTTCACATTGTAAGGTTAAAATTTTGTTACAAATTTAAATATATATATATATATATATAAAAAAAAATCTATTTAATTTATGTGGAGAGAATAATATCGGTATAATCATTAGTATTAATATATTAGTTATAGGAAAATGAATGAAAAAAACTATTTTTATAATTCTAAAATGATATCTTATACATGTAATTGATTTTATCATTAGCACTATTTTGCTTATAGAAAATTAATTTGTTGAAGGTTTAATTATTATTTAAAGAGAAATTTACTTTTTACGCCAAATAAAAATTATTCATAATATAATATATCAAATGATATAAAAATTGGTATGCAAATCTATATACATTTTTTTCAATATTTTGTTGTATAAATGGTATTATCTGATTTTGTTGATATTTTCACATTGTAAGGTTAAAATTTTGTTACAAATTTAAATATATATATATATATATATA